TCACTGTCTAAGTCATCCCCAATAAGTTCACTAAATGATAGGCATACCGTGTATAACATCTCCCACCTCCTCCCAAGTTCACCAGTAAAAGCAACATTGCGATTCTCAAGAGATTTTTTCAGCCCTGTGACGTCCATTATTGGCCCAAATGATTCCTTCATTTTATGTGTAATTATAGGGTTCTTCCTTTCACTACGACTATCATCATTCACACACACTTCACTTTCCTTCATTTCATCATTCAATATTTCATTATTGCCCTCAACCACTATATCCTGATTATCCTTCACCGTTTTGTGAATTTCCTTGACCTCCTGAACGTTTAATTTCGCCTCGATGGACTCGATTCTCTGCCCAAGATTTCGGAGGAACTCACCAACTTTTTTAAGTTCAGCCCACACCTCCTTGACCATACCATTATGGCCCTCTTTCTGAGCCCCAGTAGCCACTTCACTCACCGTTACACTGTCACTGCCGGAGTCCTGAGTGGTGGCGTGGCTGCTTGTTGCTTGAGCCTGCCTAGGTACAGGTGACTCCTTTACCCACGCATTCGTCCGGTTCACTGGCGCTGTTTGGGGCGGACTGTTTTGCTGTGCTCCCGGTGTCTGGGCCGGGGAACATCCATACTCGGCCTCTTGCTTCAACACAGCCGAGCTGGCATTGTGAACACCTCCACAGTTGCAGCATCTGGGAACTATTTTCTCACCCAGATTAAGTCTGTTTCTACACACATTAGAGAGGTGAGACTTTCCGCAGAAACGACATCGTGGATCATGTTGACAGCTCCAGGATTTATGCCCCCATCTGCAGCATTTCAGGCATATTATGGGCTCTTCCACAAACTTTGCTACATGCCTGTAGCCAGCCCCGGTGATGAACACTCTCTCGGGAACTTCACCTCTCACTAGAGCCACAACCTGACTCCTAGCTTCACCTTTAATAAGGTGACGCTTGGCCCACACAAATCGTTGGTCGTCGAGGATGAACTCGGGGTCTAGAATCTGAGGGTATTTGTAGATAATTACCTTCGTCAGCTTCTCGTTCCCCTCAGGTATTTCCATAACAATTCCATCATATCCTTGCTGGGTAAGATACTCCACTGCCTCCATAGAACCTACCATTAAGTAAGGTCTGTTTACACCTTCCTTCAGCAGGGGCTCGAACTTGCGGTGTTCTCTTCCAAGTCTGATTGTCCACAGCAGCTTCTGATGATAGGCCAGCGTGCATGAGGCAGGGAAGAGAAGCCTCCATCTCCGCTGACCATCACCTTCCTGACATCGTTCCGTCCGTTTGTCTGCATCAGTCTCGGCGTCGTTCTTCATTCTCTTGTCGTTTCCGTTAAGTGTACTATCACTGTCAACACTACGCCTTGCCTCCTGTCATCTTCGTTTCTTCTGTTGCCTTGTTAGAACTTCTTGATACTCACCCTCCTCGACTGACTGGCTGCTTTCTGAGTCCATGTTAATAGTGCCGTGGAAAGTAGCCAGTTCTTCTGGTGACTGAGTCTCCATCTCAGTACCCAGCACGGGGGGAGGGGGGGGGGAAGGTGATTGATACGAGTAAGTCTCCTTATGTGATAGGGACAGATTTATCATTTCATAAGAACAAATATGGAAAAATATATAAATTCAGGAAAACTTGGCCTATTAGGCAAATCGGGCATTGCATAGTAGGCCAAGTATGACGTTCTGGCTACTAGGTACAACATATATATATATATATATATATATATATATATATATATATATATATATGTCGTACCTAGTAGCCAGAACTCACTTCTCAGCCTACTATTCAAGGCCCGATTTGCCTAATAAGCCATGTTTTCCTGAATTAATATATTTACTATAATTTTTTCTTATGAAATGATAAAGCAACCTTTTCTCTATGTATGAGGTCAATTTTTTTTTATTGGAGTTAAAATTAACGTAGATATATGACCGAACCTAACCAACTCTACCTAACCTAACCTAACCTATATTTATAGGTAAGGTTAGGTTAGGTAGCCAAAAAAAGCTAGGTTAGGTTAGGTTAGGTAGGTTAGGTAGACGAAAAAAACATTAATTCATGAAAACTTGGCTTATTAGGCAAATCGGGCCTTGAATAGTAGGCTGAGAAGTGCGTTCTGGCTATTAGGTACGACATATATATATATATATATATATATATATATATATATATATATATATATATATATATCGTATCTAGTAGCCAGAACGCCCTTCTCAGCTTACTATGCAAGGCCCGGTTTGCCTAATAAGCCAAGATTTCATGAATTAATTGTTTTTCGATTACCTAACCTACCTAACCTAACCTAACCTAACTTTTTCGGCTACCTAACCTAACCTATAAAGATAGGTTAGGTTAGGTAGGGTTGGTTAGGTTCGGTCATATATCTACGTTAATTTTAACTCCAATAAAAAAAAATTGACCTCATACATAATGAAATGGGTAGCTTTATCATGTCATAAGAAAAAATTAGAGAAAATATATTAATTCAGGAAAACTTGGCTTATTAGGCAAATCGGGCTTTGCATAGTAGGCCGAGAAGTGCGTTCTGGCTATTAGGTACGACATATATATATATATATATATATATATATATATATATATATATATATATATATATATATGTCGTACCTAGTAGCCAGAACGCACTTCTGAGCCTACTATTGCAAGGCCCGATTTGCCTAATAAGCCAAGTTTTCATGAATTAATTGCTTTTCGACTACCTAACCTACCTAACCTAACCTAACCTAACTTTTTCGGCTACCTAACCTAACCTAACCTATAAAGATAGGTTAGGTTAGGTTAGGTAGGGTTGGTTAGGTTCGGTCATATATCTACGTTAATTTTAACTCCAATAAAAAAAAATTGACCTCTTACATAATGAAATGGGTTGCTTTATCATTTCATAAGAAAAAAATTAGAGAAAATATATTAATTCATGAAAACTTGGCTTATTTGGCAAATCGGGCCTTGCATTGTAGGCTGAAAAGTGAGTTCTGGCTACTAGGTACGACATATATATATATATATATATATATATATATATATATATATATATATATATATATATATATATATATATATATGTGTGTGTGTGTGTGTGTGTGTGTGTGTGTGTGTGTGTGTGTGTGTGTGTGTGTGTGTGTGTGTGTGTGTGTGTGTGTGTGTGTGTGTGTGTGTGTGTGTGTGTGTTTGTGTAAGATTAATCACAATAACACCACAATATTCACGTGATTCGGTTATGCATAAGTATTCACATAGAACAAATAAAACGAAAATAACCTGAGCGATTCATGGAGTTAGAATATTTCCAAGGAGTAGAGTAGAGCGTTAATCCATGAGTCTGGCCTCATACAACCCTGCACACCTAAGTAAATTATGCAACATAAACCAAATAGTGAATAACGAAAGAGACATATTCGGAATAGTCTAATTACAATTTCAATCATACTTCTGGGAATAGGCCATTTACAGAACTATCTATTCTTTACATACTTTTATATGTATATATGTATCATGAGATCTCCTGTACCATTGCAAGGCCAGTCAATCAAATTTACCTCATTAGTTCCTCACTTCCGGGAAAATATAAGTACACAACTTTCTCACGCTGACAACTCACAGGGAGTCCCTTCTGTGTATGGGAGAGTTACCGGCTGCGTGTAAGGGCAGCTGGACGCCTTCCTCCATGTATGGTAGTTACCGGCGGGGTATAAGGGCAGCTGGATTCCTTCCTCTATGTATTGTAGTTACCGGCGGGGTATAAGGGCAACTGGACCTCTTCCTCCATGTACCCATACGTACGGTTCACTGAGATTACCTCTTAGTAATAATCAAATGTTCTCCACGAGTCCCGCTTTCGCTAATCTCTGTGACAATAGTTTTTCTTGAGAAGAATGTAGGAGGATATCCTCCACATCTTTGTCTTTCACTGATCCTTCAGAAAGAATGGCTGCGGAGTAATGCATAGACTCCTCCAGCAGTTTTCTCTAGACGTTTACGTTCACACTTACCACGCCGGGTATATATATATAATGTTGCTCTGTTGTAATTTCCATCTTAACTCAACTGTCAAGGAAACGTCGGCCATGAACTAGGTCACTCTCACTCGTGTTAATGATAAATTCCACAGATCCCTGTTTCCACAGTTACCTGTCCAATGTCAGCTTTTGATGACTCTTTAACTTCAATTCCAATCGGCTTAAACATCGGCTCCTTCTTCTATGACGTCTGTACAGCGAGCGGCAAGAGCCAACCAATCATTGGGCAGACACTATTATGTGTCACCTACCATGTAACCGTTGGTTCCCTTAGGCCACGGGACTCGAACGTGATCTAGATTTCCATGATATCACAGGTATCCAAGCATAGTATTGTGTTCCAGAACATTCTGGTGAAACATAAAAAGACATATAACAAATTTTTTCGTATAACTCTTAATGTAACTGTTAAACTCTTGGAGTACAAGATGTTATCTAGTAAAAGATGTGAGTAAGTAGTGCAGGAACTATACGATTGTTTACACGACTTGAGTACACACGATGATATCTCAACCATGACTCGGTTATATTTACTCCCAGCGGCTGAAGCTTGATGTAAGTACATCTTGTCTTTCAGCAAGTATAACATGTTTCTCGTTCCTGGAGCCATCACTACACGATTGTTAGTAATAATGACTATCCAGGATGCGTCTAAACGGCTGCAGTGACTAGCCAAGATGAGCACAAAACATGTAACAAGACCTTCAGGAAGTGATTGTTTACACACAGGCATAATGGTAACAGACATATTCGTGTTTTAGATCATTATCAAATACAAAAATGAGTAATGTAGGGTTGGATTAGATAGTGTTTCCAAACTGTTGGGTTATTTCGGTCATAAGGTGGTTCGTCTTGTTGATAAAATAACCCAATTCCAAAGTTCTTTGTTTAATTGTAAGAATTGTTGCAGGTGTATCTTCAACATTTTATTGAAAACTTGTTCCCCCTCAGACACTTGAGTGCAGGTGGAAAGGCTGGTATAGTAGTGGAGGTGGGGTCAGTGGTCTTCCAGGACCAGCTGGCCCGGGACCACCTCCTCCAGCAGCTGTGGGGAGACACCAGAACCACCTGCCGGACCGTCTTCCTCGACCTCACCGCCAGTAATGCCACGACTGCGGCTCTCGAGTAGGTCAATGTTTAAAAAAAAGTGAATAGATAATACAAATTCGTATATATTGTTGATATGTTATATTCCAGATATATGAAGTAATTAAGGTTTAATGTTCTGATTCCTATTATTATTTGGATTAGGAAGATTTTTGTAAATCTTGATCAACATGGAGGAAAGTGGCAATACATGGAGTATTGCCACTTTAAACGCCTGTTGAACTCTTGTTGTTGTCAAACCGACACAAAGCTGTACATAAACCTTCATCAACATTTACCCAAATGGGTAAAAGACATCAACAATTTATTCCCTATTGTTTAAAAAGATCACCAGTTAGTCAAGTTTTGCACTATATATTAGCAATAATTAGCCTGATTGGCATAAAACGTCAATGGTCAAGACGAGTACAAAATGTGACTTTAATATTTTAATGAAATCAGTATTCTCACGTAAGCCGGAGAGCGAACTTCATTTATTTAGTGTGAGTGATGGGAAAGTAAATGAAGAAACTCCCTATCTGAAATGTTGATGAGATTACCAAGATTTATATCAGCAAAACTAACGAATTGTTATGGAAAATTTGTCTTTATAATGTTGCAAGGTCAATTAACTAATCAATTTCTGAACAGAGCAACATACCATTAATACGTAGCACTTAACTCACTCTGAATGAGAAGTACATATTCTCTCCCTTCTTCAGGTTGATAAATGCAGCATCACTGTGGAAAGAGTCAGGAACTGGCGTAGTGGCGCTGGGAAGGAGTGCGGGGGTGAGGGAGGTGCTCCTCCACCACAGTCTCCGCAACACCCTCCACGCCCTCTACCTCGCTCTCCACCACCACACCTTCAATAACCGAGCGATTTCTTTGACTATTTCGAAGGCTCTAAGGCAAGGTAAAAGGTCAGAAACTACCATATACATACATATATATATATATATATATATATATATATATATATATATATATATATATATATATATATATATATATATATATATATATATATATATATATATATATATATATATATATATATATATATATATATATATATATATATATATATATATATATATATATATATATATATATATATATATATATATATATATATATATATATATATATACTACCATATACATATATATATATATATATATATATATATATATATATATATATATTAAATATGACCGAAAAAGTAAGATTAATAATTCTAACACGAATTTTCTCAATCTTTCGTACATTTCTTTTCACTGTTGGAGGTAAATCAAAAATCAATTCTCCAAAATTCATTTTATTTCTAGTCTGACGCGACACGAGCGCGTTTCGTAAAACTTATTACATTTTCAAAGACTTTAGTTTACAAATACACAACTGAATAGAACTTACGCATCTCCGATTTTATATCTACATTTTAGTGAGGTGGATGGGGTGAGGTGGCATTAATAGGGTATTAATTTCATCAACACAAGGCAGAACAAGAGGTGGCATTAATAGGGTATTAATTTCATCAACACAAGACAGAACACGAAACAATGGGTATTGAATAGAAGTGTTTGTAGAAAGCCTATTGGTCCATATTTCTTGATGCTTCTATATTGGAGCGGAGTCTTGAGGTGGGTAAAATATAGTTGTGCATTAATTGGCTGTTGATTGCTGGTGTTGACTTCTTGATGTGTAGTGCCTCGCAAACGTCAAGCCGCCTGCTATCGCTGTATCTATCGATGATTTCTGTGTTGTTTACTAGGATTTCTCTGGCGATGGTTTGGTTGTGGGAAGAGATTATATGTTCCTTAATGGAGCCCTGCTGCTTATGCATCGTTAAACGCCTAGAAAGAGATGTTGTTGTCTTGCCTATATACTGGGTTTTTTGGAGCTTACAGTCCAGCCGTCAAAAGGAAGTGATGGTCAAGCGGATTAAGGCGCCCTGTAGTTACCAGTTGCGTTGCTTCTGGGAGTATGGGTTCGAGTCACTTCTGGGGTGTGAGTTTTCATTCATATATATATATATATACATATATATATATATATATATATATATATATATATATATATATATATATATATATATATATATATATATATATATATATATATTTATATTTATATATTTATATATATATATATATATATATATATATATATATATATATATATATATATATATATATATATATATATATATATATATAGAGCTAATAGAGCTCACAGTGTGTCGGATTACAAGTGTATGATTCACTCACCATTGTGCAGTGATAAACAAGAAAATTATACCAGTGTTTAAGTGTCACCCAGCCCCCCCCCCCCCTCAAGCTGAGCGAGACCCGGTCACCCACCACCTCCTCCCCGCCCGCCGGCCTCGCCGCACCACAGTACCTCCTGCCATCCCACCACCCAGCTCACCCTGCGCCTGGGTGTCTCCCACCCACCTATTCACCGCCCTCACTGTGCTTGTTGCAGGGATGTGCTACCCTCCATGCACCCAGATATGGCACAGGTCACAGCAGGCATTCAGGTTCCTCCCAAAAGGGAGGGAGACACAAGTACTCATACTAGTGGTGAGTGTGAGTGACAGCTAGCCACCCCTCCTGCCACACCCCGTGTCCACCCCTGCCGCCACCACCCCTGTCATCCCTCCCACGCCGGCCGCCCGGGGGATGGAGGGGACTCCACCAACTAACCAGGAACCCCTCAGTCAAGAGCAGGGTCCTGGAAACAGTGCACCCAGACGTGCAACCAGAGGACCCAGACCCAGAGGAACGTGTCGGGTGTGTGACGAATCTCACAGCCTTAGAAACGATGGAACCCTACGTCAGCACAACAACTGTGAGGGTTCATTGACGGTACCTGTAGAGAGAGAAGCACTACATTGCCACTACACCAGTCTCCGTGGTGTAGTGGTAAGACACTCGCCTGGCGTTCCGCGAGCGCTATGTCATGGGTTCGTATCCTGACGAGGGAGGATTTACTGGGCGCAATTCCTTAACTGTAGCCTCTGTTTAACGCAACAGTAAAATGTGTACTTGGATGAAAAAACGATTCTTCGCGGCAGGGGATCGTATTCCAGGGACCTGCCCGAAACGCTACGCGTACTAGTGGCTGTACAAGAATGTAACAACTCTTGTATATATCTCAAAAAAAAAAAAAAAAAAAAAAAAAAAGAGAAGGCCCACAGGTCCCCCCGGCACCACCACACATCCCAGCAAACTTCATGTCATCAGACGACCTCCTGGGGGCCATCAAAGCATCCACCACCAGAACTCTTCCCCACATTCCTAAAGCAGCGCGCCCATTTGCAGCAGGGAAATATACAGACCTTTTAAGGAAAGTAAATGAACGGTATGCAAATCTTAATGCTGCAGCCACCATCAAAGCATGGCATAATTTGCCCCTGTTTGGCAATATTTGCTTAGGCGTTCCTGCAAGAGGAGGCAAGTCGCTAGCCTCATCAGTCACTAGGGCAATAAATAATTTCCCCAGAGCTGACAACTTGATCCCCATCCCTCCTCAACGCAAAAACCGTCGTGGCAGACCCAAGAGTTCCAATGATAATTTTAAACTTGGAACACAAGTGACCAAAAAAATTGAAGAGGGCAACACAGTAGGGGCAATTAGGTTACTAACCAGCGAAGACACAATCGCCCCTAGAAATACCGCTACCGCCAACTCGCTGAGAGAGAAGCACCCTCCTAGAGTACCATGGGAACCCACTGCTCAGGACACAAATGTCCCAGACATGGGACCTCTATTCCTCCAAGTGTCAGAGGTATACAAAGCTATCATGTCATTTCCGCCAGGCTCGGCAGGGGGATACACTGGAGTAAGACCTCAGCACCTCAAGGAGATGGTAAACCCAGTTCTCGGAGAAGTTGCCGAGACACTATTGTCAGAGGTCACGAAGTTTGTCAACGACTGCCTCTCTGGGTTGATCCCAGATACAATTAAACCCTTTTTCTTTGGAGCATCCCTTTGTGCCCTCAAGAAGAAAGATGGTGGAGTCAGACCCATTGCCGTGGGTAACACACTTCGGCGCCTTGTTGCTAGGGCAGCTGTCAGAAAAATTAGCATAGACGCTGCGACGATGCTTCGACCCCATCAACTAGGTTTTGGTGTTCCCCATGGCTGTGAAGCAGCAGCTCATGCAGCACGAGCCTATATAAAGCACCTCCCAGAAAATAAGGCATTAATTAAATTAGACTTTAAAAATGCCTTCAACCAGGAAAAAAGGGATGTGGTACTGGAAGCAGTTCGAACCAGCTTTCCTTGTCTACTCCCCTTCGTCTCAGCAGGGTACAGTAGGGAATCGACGCTGCTGTTTGGGGAACATGAAGTTGTTTCTGCAGAAGCTGTCCAGCAGGGAGACCCACTTGCCCCTTTTCTTTTTTGCATGGCTGTTAAAGAGGTCACAAGCAGGTTGACCAGTGAACTGAACCTCTGGTTCCTGGACGATGGCACCCTGGCAGGGACACAGGAGTCCCTGATAGAAGATCTACAGCTGGTGAAATCTAAGGGAGAGGAGTTAGGACTCACCCTAAACCCATTAAAGTGTGAAATCATCTCATCTAACCAACCAACCATAGATGCAGTGCGAATCATATTGGCAGGAGCCCAAGTGATCGCTCCCACCGACAGTGTGCTGCTAGCGGCACCTCTGGGCTCGAGCGCCATTGAGGTAGTCCTCGAAGAAAAGCTGAACGACCTGAGTAGGATGGAGGGAAGAATAGGGGCTTTGGACGCCCACGATGCTCTATACCTTCTCACAAGGTGCGTGCCTTTGCCCAGACTGACCTATTTCCTAAGGTGTGCTCCCTCCTTCGACAGCCCAAAATTAACAGAATATGACATACTCCTAAGATCAATAACCGTGAAAGTGTTAAACCTCTCCCTGCAAGATGACCAATGGGACCAAGCAACGCTCCCAGTTAGACTCGGGGGATAGGTATTCGCAAGGCGACACAGTTAGCATTGCCGGCATTCTTATCCTCGACCAGTGCAACAGGTGAATTAGTTAAGGAAATATTACCGGAACACCTAAGACACTTCATTGGGATTCATGATCCCAAATTCGCGGAAGGAGCCGGTCAGTGGGACACTCTTGTCAACTCTCATCCTCGACCGACTTTTCCAAATGACTGCAAACAGTCCAAATGGGATAGCCCCATAGTGGAGAACATCGCCACATCATTGCTGGAGGCAGCTTCCAGGAAGGACAAAGCAAGACTTCTAGCTGTGCAAGCTCCCCATGCCGGAAACTTCCTGTTGGCAGTCCCTAATTCCGCCTTGGGCACCCGCCTGGACCATCGGACCCTAAGTATTGGTGTTGCTCTGCGCCTTGCCGCCCCTATCTCCACCGAGCACCGGTGTATTTGCGGCCATGCACGGGCAGACCAATACGGCAGCCATGGTCTCATCTGTCGTAAGACACAGGGAAAGACTGCCAGACATGAAGCAGTCAATGACATCATCAAGAGAAGTTTGGCTTCAGCTGGGTGCCCAGGACAAAGGGAACCTCAGTTGTGCAGGCCTGACAACAGCCAAAAACGCCCAGATGGAGTCACCCTGCAGCCGTGGAGGGAAGGTAAACAGGTCGTGTGGGACTACACGTGTGCATCCACATTGGCTGATACCTATCTACCTTACAGCGCAGCTGAGGGAGGCGGGGCGGCCACCTTCAGAGAGACCCAGAAAACTAACAAGTACAGGGACCTAGAACGTTGTTACAGGTTCGTGCCAATAGGCTCTGAGACTCTGGGCGCCTGGGGTAAATGTGCACTTAAGTTCCTGAAGGAGCTGGGCGAGGAACTCATTGGAAAGACTAGAGACCCAAGAGCAGCCAGTTTTGTTCCAGCGCCTCAGTGTCGCTGTTCAGAGGGGAAATGCGTGTTGTAT